AAGAAAAGCGCAAAATCTAGAAAATTAACAGATAAAATAAAAATAAAAATAAAAAAATGAAAGAGGACGCGAAGTAATATGAAAATAAGAACCATGAATAGGAACAATTCAAAAAAGCCAAGACACGAGGCTTTCAATTACAATATAATTACTCTACCTTTTGTTGGTTTCTTTAATGAAACAACTCTTTCTTGGCAACTTAAACATCTTTTCAGTGCAACTTAACGTCAAGCACTATCGTAGAAAGAGGAATCCACTTTAAAATCATGGGTTGATTCCAAGATGATTATACAAAAAAGTTTCTGTGTTTAAATGGAAACAATGTCAAGCAAATTAATTACAGCGTACAAGCATTACACGGAAAGATTTGCTAGTTATATTTTTTTATGTAAGGATTCATTTTTATCTTTAGTTAACTTTTACTTTTCATTTTTAACTTATTACCATGCAAAACAGATCTAAAACAAAGAATAATAAAGCGGAAGCAGATATAAAATTGAACTTCAACAGCTATATAAACTGGTCAAACAAGGCACAGAAACATAAAACAATGACATGAATTAAATCTAACAACCCAGGTACGCTGACTGTCTCATGTTTATCATCTTCATCAATGTGCATCCATAATTGATTCCTCTTGTAATTCATTTTCGGTCTCTTCCACAGGTAATGCCGTTAGGCTAACATTAGATCGGAGGACTATATACTTATTGTCATGCACAAAGAAAGGCATAAATCTTTCATTGACTGTCCAAACAGACGTGCCAAAACATCCTGGTAGAAAGAGTGGTGTCCCTTCCACAGCTAGAAGATCAAGTCCCAAGCTAGCAATAAATGTAGTCCATCAGCTGAGACCCGAAAATTTAGGTCTATGGTTGACTTGAAGGGAGCAGAAGAAACATGTCTAATCTTATTCTATAATAAGCGTCGTAGAAATGCGTGATAGCAAGCATAGAACGGTAGCTTTCACTTTCATAATCCAAATTTAAACCTGCCCGTTGAACTCTCATGCCATCTTGTATTTTTGGGGCAGGCTACAAAATCGATCTTACTCTTTTATCGTGAATGAATTGCGATTTAAATGCGAATTTAAACCGTGTTACAACTAAAAACCTGATTTTCGTTTATTTTTGTGCTTAAATTGTATCTTCAAAAATATTTGCCTCATTTTTTGGAAAGGACAAGATAATTTATCCGAGGGTTACTGTTCTTAATTTTCGCTAATCGATCCTCGCAGTGTTTGCTTGTTTTTTCTTTAAGTTTGAGGTCAAAGTTTCTTGTATAAGGAAGTTACCCAGCTCTAGCGGAATCAAATTAAATTGCCGGCAACAAAGTTGTCATTTGCATAGAGCTGAAAGCGCAAAAAATTAAAGTTAACGTAGCAACGTAGTTTTGATTAGAGCACAGCTGATGGCACAAAAAGTTGACTTGGCCCAGCAACGCAGTTGTGATTGGTGAAGAGCTGATGAGCAACAACACTGCCTTTATTGACATATGAAAGCGGTTGGTTTTACAGAAATCTTTTTTTCCCGGCAATATAGGTTTTATTAACCCTAGAAAATATGTGAATTTATCCAGCAACACTGTTTTTTAGAGCCCACGGTAGTTCACTTTAGGTCATTTCTTATTCCGGCTTAGTTTATTTTCAGTAATGTTCGATTATTTTTTTTTTAGGTCATTCCTTCTTTTAAAAAAAAAATCCCGTCAACACCTTAAACCTTAATACTGTACTTCCATGCCAAATTTCCAGACAAAAGATTGTCATTTCTTGACATTTCACCTTATAAGAATCGCAAAATCGCCCATTGTACTTCCTTTATTCCTGCCATTTTTTGTTAGTTATTTTCACGTTAAAGCACGAGCGACCTTTACCATTTTATTCATTTCAGTAATTAATTATTTCTCAAAAGCATGACAAGACGTTTGTAAAAATAAAGAGTGTAAGGGTCTTTGATTATGTTTTTTGCAAAAAATGGAGACCCTAGTTACAATACAAAGTAAGAAAAACAAAATAAGGGTGTTTTTGTTTCTGCGGTCCTTGTTTTCGCAACAACCAGCTTTGACAGCTTTTGCCCCTGCGTGGCATTTCTTTTGCACTGTAGTAAATAGCGGATGAATGTACTATATGCAGTTGTTCGGATACAGCGTTATCCCAGTGTAGAGATATTTCTTCGTGGACCGTTATATCGTGCTGTCGTGATCCGAAATCACAAACCAGTTTTGGAAGCTTCAACTAAAAGCGAACTACCAGCTAATCCCATAAAATACCATCGCAATTGCCGAGCTGAGTTCACCAACAAGAGAGATTTACAGGTCGCTAACGAACCATCTGATGATGCAGCAACTGGAAGTGCACCCATGAGAAGCTCCAGAGAAAGAAATGAGGTAAGCTCAACGATTCCGCCGGATCAATGTTTGTTCTGTAAAAAGTCAAAGTGCAAGCCAAATACCAAAACCCGAGAGAAGCTACACAGTGTTCAGGAACTGCGCGCCAATGAGACGGTGAGAACATGTGCTTAATTCACTTCATGTGCAACAAAACACTGCTATGACCGAGGTAGCTCGGAATGTGATTGGGACATGCGCAGAAGACCTCATTTCAAGTGAAGTAAAGTACTACGCTTCCTGCTACAAAAGCTTTGTAAGAATAAATTATTCCAGCAGCAATGAAGGTCAAACTCTGACTGAAACAGATAACCCATTAGAACCTGTGTATGACGCTGTGAACTGTTTGTGCGAAGATTTGATAGCGAACCCGAAATGGTCGAATATAAAGTTGTCAAAGAACTGTTTCTGAACAAAGTTAGAGAGCTAGGAGTAACTGTATCAGAATCAGACAAAAAGAACCTCATGCGAAAGGTTTCAAACATGTTTCCAGAAATTAATTTTGTCACTCACCAGTATAACAAGATGTTAATGTATCCCAACACATTAGCAATAGGCAAAACCGTACTGGATTTCCTTGAGCTAAAAACCAAGCTAGAGTCGCTGAAAGGTCCCAGGAGCGATGACGAGAAGAATATGATACAAATTGCTCGATTGATAAACGATGAAATAAAAGATCTTAACCCACTGATGTCTTGGCAGCCTGAAGAGGACGATTTAAAACCAAGCATAACCACTGACTACATTCCACATCTTCTCGACGTCTTTTTGACAGTGCTTATTACTGGGAAACCACTTGACAGCGAAAGCAGCAGGACAGAAAGAACAATAAGGCTGAAAGAATCATTCGCTCAAGATATAGTTTTTTCTGTTACAAATGGGGTCGTAAAAACTCCAAAAAGCGTGTTATCTCCTTCTGTTGTAAAGGCTTTTTGTAATAACAGAGATTGTAAAGCTAATCAATAAGTACGGTCATGGTGTCACTTATGACCTAGTAGAAGAGATTGAGAAGGAGTATGCGTTTAAAATTGTTAACGAGCAACTAGAAAACCGAGTCGTCATTCCGCCCATTGTAATGCAGGAGCAAACCAGATCCACTGTTGTCCTGATGGTGGCTGATAATATTGATAACTTGGAGGGTACACTGAGTGGGTCTAGAACATCCCATCGCGTGAACTCTATCCTTATCACGGAGCAAAAGGAGAGAGAAAGTGGACACGGGTCAGATGACCAAGAGTACGCACCACCAGTAGCGAAGAAATGCAGGAGATCCCTACCAGCAACTATGGTCACTAGGGCTATCCCCAAGTACTACGGCCGAAAAAGGAAGGGGCCAGGAGAACTGCAGCTTATTCAAAACCTCGGAGTAAGTTCTTGTTACCGTGACAAAGCAAAAGAAATGGCTCCACACTACCTTACGTGGATTGAGGTGAGAAAGCTTGAAACGCACCCATTATTAATAATACCTGGGTGGACCGGCTTTAACATTAAAGTTTGTGATTGTGTGGTGGTTGTGGAGAGCACAATTGGTTATTTGGACACTACAGATTCCCCTGCCACTGACCTGAAGACCGCCTACAAGGTGTTGTCTGGAGGATGTGAGATAAAAAATCGGCTTCAATTGAGTGCTGTTGTGTGTGTTTTTGATCAGGCTTTTAACGCCAAGGCTATGGAGGTTTACTGGGAACACGAGGAGCTATTCGATGGCATAGTCCTAATGATGGGAGGTTTCCATTTGTTATTAATGCTCTTGGGAGTTATTGGAAGCCGATTCGGGGATGCGGGGCTTAGAGAACTAGCTGTCCAGAGTGATGTCGTGGCAGACGGATCAGTGGATAAGTCTCTAAATGGAAAACAGTACAATCGGGCTGTGCATCTTCATAAATGTGTTTATGAAGCCCTCATGAGATTGCTCTTGAAAGAGTTTGAATCTTCAGTCCAGTCATTACTGACCTTGAACTTGGAACAACTGAAATCAGAACTGAACCAAGAAGAATTTGAGCGAGTGTTGAGCAGCCATGGGTTCCAGTAATTCGGGGAACAGTTCCATGTTTACGTGCAGGGAATGAAGGAGAAGGGGTCAACTGTAGGCAGGTTCTGGCTCTCTGACTTGGAGCTCTGCGAGCTGATGCTTAACCTTATCTTTGCGCCGTGCACCGGTGACAGGCAGTTGTATCTTTCTTGCATAGAGGAACTGATACCCTGGGCATTAGCATATGACTGCCAGAACTACGCACGTTATCTCATCCCATTTCTAAACAACATGCATCACTTGTCTCTCAGAACACTGGAAGTGTAAACAGCCTTCAACAAAAGCCAGTTTTCCGTTCAAATGGGGGCCTGTAATCCTTTTGGACGAAACGAGGCTGACAATTAATCGCGACTGCAAGACAGGAGGAGGCTACATCGAGTTTAGTGCTAATTTTGCTGCATTTCAGAGATGGGTGCTCAATTACACAAGGCGTGCTGTGCACAGAAAACTTCTTCGTGGGCATTTGTCGATTAATTCTTCCAAGACCTACATCCACAAGGATGTTCGCTCCAGCACGAATTAAAGAAGACATCAAAGCGGTAGAGAAGTTGGTAGATTTGCTTGAGGATGTGCTCACCAATCCATGGAAACGACGCAGTGTTCATGTGTTTGTCCACTGGTAGATATTGATGATGATTTACAACAGGTCAAGAGCAGAAGAAAGCAGGCGAATGACTTTGTGGTGAACCGTTGCTCATCAGATCCAACTTTAGATTACTTTGATCCCCTGAAGAAAGCCAAGCTGAAGTCTTTTAAGGACCTGAAGGCTGTGCACAAAGTTCACAACAAGAATCTAGTACTTCCTCTTTGAATGGTTCGAGATGTATTTGCTCGGATGGCACTTCCCGAACAGTTTCGACAGATTGACGTGAAAGTTCTTTTTACCTATCCTCTTGGTCCTCTTCGTTGGTTCCTTGCTGATCCTTATGGACGAAAATCAAACAAGGTCAAACTTTCCCAACAGCTAGAACGAGGTATCACAGCCACAGAAAAAAACCCGGAGAATGCAACCAGCATTTTTGATCGGATGGCTGTCTTGCAAATGCGAAAGATCCCCTGTGGACCAACGTTTTATATGGTCGCTGAGAGAGTATTTGAGACGGTAACGAGCACCTGTAGCATGCGCATAGACGTCTTGTTTGACATGTACCACAAGAATGTAGAAAAAATAAAAAGTGTCTACCAGTGACGGTGTACAATATAAGAACATACTCCCTGCACATACTGTGAAGTCATGCAACAAGCTGCTCAGTGTCACCACAAACAAGCCTGAGATCGCGAAATTCTTTGTGTCACAGTGGAAGACAGACACATTCAGAAGCAGGCTTGGCAACCGCATCATGTTTATAACCATCGAAGAACAGTGTTGGCAACTGGACGTGAGAACGTGCGAACCAGTTCCTGAACTACACTGCAATCACGAAGAAGCTGATACCCGCATGGTTCTCCATGCTCGGCACACGGCAGGCCCTTGCGTCATCCACTCTGATGATACTGATGTGTTTATCCTGCTGCTTTGTCATAGCTCGGACCTTGGAGCGTGCTACATAAAGAAGGGAAGGGGCGCAAAGACCAGATTAATAAAACTTTCTAAGGTTGTTAGCACTTTGCAGAAGCAACTTGACAGAGGCATTGAGAAGCAGTCGTTCATGAAAACCCTCACCGGCATACACGCGATTACAGGTTGTGATACCATCTCCGCCTTCTCTGGTAAAGGAAGGTGGAAAGGAGTACAGCTTCTTCAACATAATGAAAGATATGTCCAAGCCATGGCAAGTATCGGGGACGAGTGGGTAGTATCCGAGGAAGCATTTAAAGCTATGGAGGCACTCGTGTCAGTTGTATGGAAAGAAGTGCGACAGTGTGGGTGCCCTTCGCTATCAGATTCACTGCACCAGAGGCGAAAAAGTAGAGCCAGAAGCTTTGCTACCATGTGAGTCATCTTTACAACTTCAGGTTACAAGAGCAAATTACCAGGCAGCAATCTTGAGAAGAGCCATCATTTCGCGTCCGGTAATCTCCTCTCCTCATGGACATGGCTGGGAAGTAGACAACATCTCTAACGTCGTGAAATTTGTATGGCTTGGATCTAAACCCACTCCAGAAGAGGTCCTTGAACTACTCCCCTGTACATGCAAGAGAGCGTGCACCATCGAGAACTGCTGCAGCTTAAAGGCGGGTCTGAGGCGCACTGACATGGGTAGCACAGTAAAAACCCACGACTAAGAACCTGCATTTTCCCAAGTCAGCCTAAACATGTTCTTACATAAATGGTAATTAGCACATATTTAGGCTACTTTAGGTTCTTAAATAGGTTCTTATTTTCTGAAGAAAAAGATACATTGAAGCTAAGAGCATTTAGTGGTATGTACCTTAATTCCTTCTATAAAATCTGCAGACCATTACATTACAGCTGGTGTGATAAGTCTCCTACGTGTTCAAAGAGGATCCTGAATATTGACTTATCTTATTTGCCCAATTGAAAAGAATTTTCTCTATAAATTTTAGAAAATAAGAACCTGTTTCGTATTTTAGGCTAAACAGGTTCTTGTATAGAGGGGGCCTAACTCGCAAATTATAACCTAACAGGTTCTTAAAAACCAGGTTCTTAGTCATGGGTTTTAACTGTATCCAGTGTGACAAAATGGCAACTGATGTTGGTATTCAGTGTGAGAATGGGAATAGTGACTCTGCGATGGAGAAGACTGATACAGGTAAGTACGTTCAAAGGTGTAAGTTAGTACTGTAGGGATGGCGAGAAGAAACGGATGCTGGTTAGTACCTTTTAATGTGTATTTCTTCAGGTTCGATATAGCAACATCCCTTTTGACGGGACACATTTTGTCATTTTCTGCAAGCCTAGCATAAGAAAGTATTTGTTTTTAGCCCCAATGTTCGCTACATAGTGAGAAGCACTACATGATGTAGACGTATGTTTATGTTTTAGATCTCATATGCAAGTGACAGTAGTAAAGAAGGACTTTAAAGGGTCATGCATGGCACTTTCACTGAAGCGTGGATTTAGCTATCTAAACTGATTCGATTCGTAAGACTTAATCAATAGATTTAGTCAGGTTCTTCTAGTAACATTGTGATGTAAAGCGCCTTTAATGGTGATTTTATTCAGATGACTGAAACATCAGCAGTTGAATATACAAGGAAAAAACAAAATGGCTGTAGCTGTGACGTCATTTTGACGTAATCATAGCATGAACAACTGTAAAAAATGCTGAAATAATATCTTGGATACTTATTATTGCAAATACACGTGTAAATAAAGTATAATTGTACTTATTTAAGAATGAAAAACATTTTAAAGCTATTTTCTTAGAAATCAAAGATGGTGACCAGAAGGCAGTATGCACTGCAAATTTCAAATTCGATTTACAAAGTGAAAGCTACTGCTCTATCCTTGCTATCATGCATTTTTGTGATTCTTAATGGTCAGAGATTAAGATTTAACAAGTTTTGTTTGCTCCCCGTAAGTGAGCCATACAACCCCCCCAGCTGATGGACTAATGAATGCGTGAAGCGTTTATATCCTCAAAGCAGTATTCCTAATATAAATCCCTTCCGTTTAAAACAAATGAATTTCTGAATAAAAGTTTGTCAAGGATGCAGGGGACCACGTCAGTCATCATTACGAACAGTTACAGACACACCATTTGATTTTTGTGAGGCCAGAAAGGAGTGGCGGACTTACAAAGACCCTCAAATAGGAGAGTTATGCACGCCCGCTCGGGAATCGGATGCACATTATCACCTTCGGGTTGCCTGCATTCAAGCAGCTGAGCCGTCATTTGTGCCGTATTTGCTGGTCATCCCCGACGGATTGCCCCTCACAGAGTGCCACAAAAACTACATTACAAAAGAGTTCGGTCTGAGAGCCTGTTCGATTTAATTCATGTCATTGTTTTGTTTTTTCATGTTTCTGTGCCTTGTTTGACCGGTTTATATAGCTGTTGAAGTTCAATTTTATATCTGCTTCTGCTTTATTATTCTTCGTTTAGATATGTTTCGCATGGTAATAAGTTAAAAATGAAAAATAAAAGTTAACTTAAGATGAAAATGAATCCCAACACAAAAAATAAATGTTTTCATGTAACACTTGTACGCTGTAATAAATTTGCTTGACATCGTTTCCATTTAAACACTAATAAGTTAATAACGTTTTTCGTATAATCATCTTGGGATCAACACATGATTTTAAAGTGGATTCCTCTTTCTACAATAGTGCTTGACGTCAAGTTGCACTGAAAAGATGTTTAAGGGTGGCTGTCTGTAAGGATCGAGAACCGGCGGTCAGCGACTCATTTGGCGAATCCCTGATATTTTGCCCAAAGTTAGCCTTGGGTACACTATTTTCAAAAATCATATTCAAAAGTTCCAACGGTTTTGTTTATTTGGGAAATTTGAGACAAATTACAAGTGCGGTCAAAATGCCGGCAAAGTGCAGTTTTTTGGTTCATTAAAAGGTGCGATTATAAACCTCCGCCGAAGTCTTAAAATGAAATCAGTTGACCTCAAAATAAAAAGAATTTCAAAGCAATCAATCTTCTACACTACCAATGTTTTAATCTTTTCAAATATGATAATACAATGGTTTTTCAGGCCATTTAGCAAACATCTTCGGAGACCGCTTTCGATGGCGGCAAAATGTAGCTAATATTCATCAGGATAAAAATGTTCCTGGTATGTCAGTTTTTAACAATTAAGCATTGCAGAGCTAAAATATAGGTCTTAAAGATTTACCAAGTAAAGTTTCAAGGTCGAACTCGGAACGCTTCCCTTCGAAGGAATCGAAAGTCTGAGCAATA